GGGGGCATTAGAGTGTAAGCTCCTCTGTACAGAGACTGATGTTACTGTGGGGGAGGGGACATTAGAGTGTAAGCTCCTCTGGTGTAGGTGATGTGGATGGAGAATGCTGAGTACATGTTATATATACATTGTATACACTGCGTACCAGGACGGGGGGACAGAGCAATGGTGGAGATATTTCTGTTGATCCGGACTCGTTAATCTCGTTGTATTTTATGAGCGGCGTGGGCCGGTCGCTGTCACGCGGGGAGATGATTATATTTCACAATCGCCGCTCATTCTTTACACTTCCGGGAATGTATATCTGAGATTAGAAGGAGGAAGAGAACGGATCTCATTGTAAAGTTCATGTGATAACACAAAGTCATCGCAGACAACTGAATGGATTTTGCGGCAGAATCTGAACAGATACCAAACACGTCATGAAAAAGAGAGATTTCAGAGGCAGAGTTCACTTAAAAATACTCATAAATGCAGAAAAAATAATGAAAGATAAAAACCTGCATGTGTTGTGTTTTTTTTGCATTGGATACGCCATCAGCAGACATAGGGTGCAACGCTCAGACTCCTGCAGACTATTCCTCCAGCCCCTGTCTATGTCACGTATGTACTCATGAAGATTTTAGACTTAATGACAGGTCCACTTTAATAACCGTCACTGGAATGTGGGATTACAAAATATGAAGGTGAAGTCTCATATGTGTAACCGGTGACGCAAAAAATCAGAGACGCCGCAGAGAATGTTACAAAGAATCATTTCTTGAAAAGCGGCAACACTACGCATTCCCCTTTCCCGATGCTTCCTCTGTTCCTGCGTTCTCTTCTTGTAGCACTTTATATACCTCTGTCTTTGTAGCGTTTCCTCGGAGTTGTGTCCTTTTCTCTGTACGTTGTCTCCTCTTCTGATTCATTGTTTCCGTCTCTTCTGCTCTATTCCCCGGTAATAAATAAAGATCTCATACGCAGAGTGATATTAAGATAGGCAGAGCCGGCTGTCAATCATGCAGCTGGGTGGATCTTGACAGTATTGTTGGGATCTGTCCCGGCTGCCGCGGTCTCAAGTTTTGTGTGACGGGAGGAGGCTAGTACCGTATTTCCCCGATAGTAAGACCTACCCCGATAGTAAGACCTAGCGCTATCTTCAGTGATTTCTGTAATATAAGACCTACCCCGAAAATAAGACCTAGTTTGGTGGTAGGTCTTACGTGTATAATGCAGAAATCCGCTAGGTCTTACTTTCGGGGTAGCTGCACATAAACTGTGTAAAGACCGTCCGCAGCTTCCGCCCCGCCCACACGCCCGCCCACACACCAGCCGGCCGCAGCTCCCGCCCCGCCCACACGCCGGCCGCAGTTCCCACCCCGCCCACACTCCCGCCGGC